CTAAATGACGTAGTGTATCGGATCCAAACCATTGGGAGTACAAGAAACAAGATGAAAGTGGTCCACCTTGAGAGGCTTGCTGAGCTTAGAACAGCGAATGTGTCTCATCGCGACGATCAGACTTAGGTGGAGGGCAGTGTTGCGAAAATGCGAGGCGAGTTTCAGATGAAAGAGAGAAGCCGATAACTGGTACATTCTAGAAACGATAACCGTCGATAGCGAATAAATCGAGTTTTCTACACTTTCGTCTACGAGCAGCCGACTGCTATATAAAGGCGACACTCAGCTGCCAAGAAGTTAGTTGCAAAGTGAACTCGTTGGCGTTAACATCAGTAAAGTCGTAAAGTAAACGCGTTGAGGATTTCATTTAAGTAGAGTAAATTGTGAAAGTTTATGCAAGTGATTGTAGCTAGTAAAGTGCATTGTAATTGAATGGTGATTTACTGAGTAAATAAAGAATATTAGATAAATTCTTTGTAACGAAAGAAACTGCAAATTAAATTGTCGAGTTTTTATTTAACAATCCAGAGATCGTACCCGAAAGATTCAGAAAATCATCGAGGTTGATTAAGCAAAATCGTAACAATATAATTTTTTTGGCACCTCCGTTGGTGGGGAGAATTTTGATGACTTGGTATTCGATGACATCGATAAGCTGCTAGTTGCAAACGATCCCCATGTCGAGAGATCTGCACAATTTCAACGTGAGCTGAATTCTTGAATGGCTTGTTACATAGATTTATACACAGGCGTAGCAAATATTGGATCATAACAGATTTCAGGAGAAAGTCGCGTAGTCCAGCGATGATAGTAATTTTATAAGCATTCGGTGCAAGCAAGTAATTGATGACAACAGCAATTAAGCGATTCTCTGCCGAGCTCATCCGCCATTTTGTAGGATGAGTGCATAAGTTCGTGACCGATTTCAAGTGCAAACTAAAATTAAAATTTTTTGAAGAAAGCGCTTTTATTAATCAATTATGTATTCGCCATCATGTTCGGCAATCCACTCCCAACGTTCAACCAATTTACGGATGCCTGATTCATAGAAATCGCGCGGTTTCTCGTTGAAAAAGGTGTCAAGGTGGTTTTTGACGTCTTCCACATTTTTAAATTTTTTTCCATTCAAATTGTTCTGCAGCGATCGAAACAAATGATAATCAGAAGGTGCAATGTCGGGTGAATATGGGGGATGCGGCATGATTTCCCAATTCATCTCCTTCAGTTTGGCCAGGGTCGGTTTTGCAACATGTGGCCTGGCGTTGTCATGATGGAAAAGAACTCCTTTGCGATTGGCCAAAATCGGACGTTTTTCATCAATTGCTTTCTTCAATTCGACCAATTGCTGACAATACTTGTTGGCAGTGATCGTTTCTCCAGCTGGCAAGAGCTCAAAATAGATCACGCCTCGGATATCCCACCAAATGCACAGCAGTACCTTCATCGGATGCAATCCACCTTTCGACATCGGTTCCGCCCCTTCGTGTGCCTGTTTCCATGTTCTTTTGCGTTGAACATTGTTGTACAGGATCCATTTTTCATCACCAGTCACGAGCCGATCCAAAAAAGGTTCGTTTTTGATCCGTCGAAGCAAAGAAATTGCTGTTGACATACGGTCCACTTTGTTTTTTTCACTCAACTGATGTGGCACCCATGTATCGAGCTTCAAAGTGTACCCAACCTTTTTTAAACGACGAAACGCAGTTGATTTGTTGACGTTCAATTCACTGGCAACCTCTTCCGTCGAAATACGTGAGTTATTCGCAACTAAAGTCCTTAGAACATCGTCATCAAGCTCAGAAGGCCGTCCACTGCGAGGTTGATCTTCGAGGTTAAAATCTCCAGAACGAAATTTCGCGAACCATTTCTTTACTGTGCGGAGTGCTGGAGCACGGTCCAAATAAACTTCGCGAATATCTTTAGTTGCAGCGCCTACTGTGTTCCCTTTGCGGAATTCGTATAACATAATATGGCGCATATAATCTTTTTCGTTGTCCATCTTCCATGCGTCTTTTCACTAAGCAACTCAAATCAAAATGAAGTTATTTTACGCTTGACTTACAGTTCGGACTGTCACCTTTCCAACGATATATAATATGTATATATTTCTTTTACGGGCGCCATTCTCAAACGATTCGAACGGCATCCAGCGGAATCGGGCACGAACTTATGCATTCATCCAATATTAATGAAAAAAATCTCGAATCTGAATTATCGTGGATTCAAAACTTGACAACCGCACAACGCACAAAAATTTTTAAAACCTGCTACAAAAATGGTGATTCGAACGTAGTTACATTTTTTGCTCAAAATTACAACTACATCCAGTTAAAGTCCAACTTCCACAATAACTAAAGCCAGCTGATAACAAGCAGTGGACGGCAGTTTGTCGAACAAATTTTTTTTTTGTGTGAAGACATATTTTTCAGCCGGGGATACGTAACTAAGCACAGTTGTTGCATTGGGAGCTCCGAAATCTTCTAATAGTTGAAGAGAGGCTATTGCACCCAAAAACTTACTTGTCTGGTGCGCTCTTTGCGCTTTCAGCGTTATGGACGTATGATAACCGACATCTTTTGGCTTGCAATTGGAGAATACGACTTGGGAAATGTATGGTTTCAAGAAGTGCAACATCTTACATAACACGAACGAACATGGCTTTATTGCAAGAGAAATTTCCCGGGCGCTTCTTGACGATATCAACTGGCAAAGTTCCACCTTTTTATTTAAAAGGAATTTTATGAATGAAAATGATTGACAATTACGTTCATTTTTGAGACCTCAAAATGGATATCCTTGTAAGAAATACTGAAACTGATCATATCTTTATAAATTATGAATATATCTCTTTTAAGTTACTATATACTTCATAACCGGTAAAACGTCTTGTGGCGGGGCTGCCTTTCCAATTTTTGGTGTGATTCTTGATTTTTTTAATGGAGAGAAAAGGTTTTTCTAAGCCGGCTACGAACGGCCGATAGATTTTTATGAAGATTTTTTCTTTCATTTTAGGAGTCTACTCCCGAATATTATTTTGGGTAAAAATCAATTAGTGCTAATTTGAAATCCAATTTGAGTTGACATCACAAAGGTTTTGTATTTCTATCTCCTAATTAAAAGAAGGCTTAGCAATCTTATTGAATTTGAAAAACCTGAACAAATCCTGTTCGAACTGTGAGAATTCATTTGTTGATGCGTCCATTGTTTACATTTGTCAAAATATTAGCATCAATTCGTAAAAAGCAACAAGAATAAATAATGAAGAGTATATTTGTTACCTTCTTTTCAATTTTCTTTTTCAGATACTTACCGGAGAAGATTGGAATGTAGTTATGTACAATGGAATACTAGCTTATGGTGGAATAAAAACAATTGGTGCATTGGCATGCGTTTATTTTATAATTTTATTCATTTGCGGCAATTATATACTTTTAAATGTTTTTTTGGCCATCGCTGTTGATAATTTGGCTGATGCAGATTCATTGACAACAATTGAAAGAGAAGAAGTAACTGACGATGGCAAATTTAATAAATCACCAAGTCCAACTCCCACAATTGAGGGTGAGGGAATGAAGAACATAAATATTGAAATAGATATGGATGGAGATTGCATAGATATAGAAAAATTGTAAGTACAACTTTTTGGAATAGAAGATATACGGAGGCTTTCATTTGTTTTAAATAATACATAACCAATGTCATCGCATTGTTTATATTATAAATTTTTCATTACCGAAAAAACGTTCCAGAGATGATGAGGCCATTTATGAAGATGAAGAAGGCGAAATCTGCGATGAGGACTTAGATGGTAAGGCGATATACTAAATATAAGATATAAGATATTATATGTTTTGCATGATTGCGAGGAATTTAAGTAGACTTAATCAACAGTATAATTGTAGATTTATGCAATATTATTTATAACAGTATTAAAATCCAATGAATCAAAATATTTTAATTTTGGCCCAAGTGATCTTATGTCTCTGGTGAAATATCACAGTATGTTTAAGTATACTTATGTAGGTATGCAGTTACTACGTTAATAAAAAAATTGCACATGCGTTTTCGTCATCTTTGAAGAATATAAATGCTTTCCCAACTAACTTTTATCAAATTGAAATGCTTTTTACCTTTTCACTTTCACTAAAACTCCTATTAACAACGTTTAGAATCCCGCTCCGAAGTAACACCACGAGCAACAGCACGTCCTCGGCGCCTTTCTGAAATCAGCATTAAGAAGACTAAAAAAACAATACCTCGGGGAAGCTCGTTTTTTATATTTAGTAATACAAACAGGTAACTTTAAAAAATTATATTATGGCCATGCATGCTTTTTAGTTTATTATTTTGTATATATTTAGTGTGTAAACGTTTTTCGTGAACATAAATAAAAAAAAACCATTCAGAAATACACAATTCTAGTCACACTTATCAAAGAAAATAAAGGACAAATTAAGTTGGCGAGTTTTTATTCAACAATTCAGAGATCGTACCCGAAGGATTCAGAAAATCATCGAGGTTGATTAAGCAAAATCGTAACAATTGGTGTCAGAAGTGGGATTGTTAAACAAATCCCAAGGGATAATATTTGCAAAATGGTAAAGATTCAGGATTTGACGATACCTCCTCTCAAGAGGGAGTTGGCAAAGCGAGGATTGTCGACAACTGGAAATAAGGCAGAGCTGCGACTGCGAGAAAGCAATGGAAGTTGAAGGCATCGACTTAAACCAGCACGAGTTCCACCGCGAGGAAGAAGATGTATCCTTGAAGGACATTGACAAGGAAGAGGCGGATGATTCAAGTAATATTCAAGAAAAGGATCCTGGTTCATCTAAGGGTATTGACATGAACATGTTATTGACTGC